TGTCATATGCCTATCACATCAAGGTATTCTGGTAAAAGTTAACTCTAAAAACATGGCCTCTAAAAATGGGCAAGAAGGACTAGCTAATGATCAGGAAAAAAAAAAATAGAGGGAAATCAAAGGATTTTTACTGCCATCCAGTGGTGGTGCTCTCAGACACATATGGTACAAAACCCATAGCTCATCTCTGTTTTCCACAGCGAAGTCCCAAATGCCATTCATTCAAGCTTAGGGATTAACCTGCAATGCTAACTTGCCATGAAAATTATGTTTTCCCGATTTCAAGACAATAGTTTCATTGGCCCTCTTGTAGTCCTGAAGATCATAGACTTCCATAGCAACCAGTTTACTTTGAGTGTACTCAATGGGGGAGGCTCTGGCCCAATAAAGCCCTTGTCTTGATGACCCAGCGAGCTCCTGCCCTGGTCTCCCTGTCTCCCTCGCCCACCCCATGTACACGCCTGCATGGAGAGTGAACGCCACTCACTCACCTTTGCTTTCAGTCCCTACTAGCCATTTCCAAGTTATGTTTTATCTGTGCTCTTATAAATGTGAGCTCCTACATTGACTATTTAGAGCCCATAGAAATAAAAAAGGGAATTGGCCAAACCCCAAGTCAATGTTTTTAACCAAGTAGGAGCCTTTGCCAACCCACTGGAGAGAGGGAGACGGAGAGGGAGAGGGAAACACATAGCATGTAAGTTTTATATAAAGCACTTTTTGGACTTCAGCACCATTCAGTTTACATGAAGCTCATAAAAGTGTTATTTCCTACTTTAAAAACATACATGTAATGTTCTCTGTGCACTAATAATGTGGCCTGTTAACCAAGGTTTGACCTTTCTGCGCTGTAAATTCAAGCCCACCCACCAGCTTGTCCAAAGTCATCATCTCTGGCAGTGATGTCATTCCTTGACACTAAAAACAAACACTACCCAGATCTCTGTTTCCTTTCTCCTGCAGGTTTACAGTCCATTGAAGAGGTGCTGATGGGTGGGGTTCAGGAGACCACAGGGTTTCGCCCGTGCCCACTGGCTTGAGCTCCTGCCTTCCAGGGACTGGCTTAGAACAAAAAACAAAACAAAACACAACAACACTTCGAGAGAATGCTGTGCAAGCTCTACTTATATAATTCATGAGGGTGTGAAGACCAAAATATGCAGTTGGCATCCAATAAAAGGTCAATATACATTATATTGTATTTACTGGCAGGGAAGATATGCCAGTTTTATAAGAAAATCTGGGGGAGCAGGGAAATGTGGAGGGGAAAGTTGAAACAGTTTTCATCTCACTGGTTTTAAAGAGATTTTTAAGTGGCTCTGTAGATGTGGTATACTACACACAGGAGTCCAGATGGAAATCATTCGTTACGGTTACATGACAATATTCTACTAACCCTTCAGAATGTAAAATCATACGGCTAAAACGGAGTATATCAGTATTAGTGACTTTTGATACCGAGCAAGCTACAGAACAAAAACCTAGTGGCAAATGAAATCCCATACACACAGAATACTGTATAAATAGACTTCAATGCGATCTTCCAACGAGCACTGGAGACCAAAAGTAAATCATAACATGAAATAAATTTGAATAAATCTTCTACAAAAATTAGTACAAATCAGCTGGCAAAACAGGATACACAAGAACAATTTTCTGTACAGCGGCCAAAGGAGTAAGTACAAAGTTGGCACAAAACGTACAGCAGGAAAATGCGTATGAAAGAATACCTACTTCACACTCCTACACAGAGCGAAAGGAAAAGTCTCGCCGTGTATGAGTACACGGTAAAGAACAGAAGAGACAGATGTATTCTAACACGAAGACCTTGACCTTAAGATGAGAGCGATGCCCCCGCGGGCTCATAGATGGACAGCGTCCACTTCGCTCTGATCGCGGCTGTGGGCCGCCAGGGGATCTCATTACCGCTACCGTCTTCATCCCTTCCCTTACCCCCCCCCCATGTAGTCAGGCCTCCCACCTTTACTACGGGCACCCGGGGGGGGGTATGTAGGCCGCCGGAGCAAATCACTCAGCTGGTGCTCCCTCCGCGCCCGGGCGCCGCACTCGCCGTTCCAGCGCCTGGGCCGAGCCTCCTAGACACCCCCTGCCGATACAGCTTGCTCATGGTTTGAATTCTGCACCAAGGCACGCCCTGGGAGTCGGATGCTGTTGGAGAGAAGCTGAGTTACAATAGCCAGTAATTGGCTTAGTTGCCTGCTTAAAGGGGAGACCAATAAAAGGTTTTATTACCTTAATCGATGGAAAATGTTATATAATCTTAAGTGGCCTGGGTTTCCTGGACGACCCATTGGGTAGCCCTCCCAAAGAGGCCAGTTCAGGCATGTCCCAGACTTAGAGGGTTCTTTTGTTCTACTTTGGTTTTCCCAAGAAGTTTATTCGGGCAAACCGGGGCACAGGGAGGCCCAGCAGCTGAAAGAAGGCAGGCGTTGGGGCCCTTGGTGGTGACGCGTGGCTCGTGCTGGTGACAAGGACCCGGTGGGGCAGCGGGGACTTGATCTTGGAGTCGTGGAACTGCTTGACCGCTAGTGGGTGGCACTTGCTGGCCGCGGTCTCCTTCATGACCTGGACTGAGCGGGCGCCGGCGGGGTGCCGGGCCCCACGTCTCCGCAGCAGTGGGTGACGGCGCCCGGGTGGTCAGGTCCTGGTACTCCGGGGACATACAGCACTGGCAGGCTTGGTTACTATTTTCTGGAACAGTTGAGCCAAATGCAATGTTCATGAACCTCATTTCTTAAGCCTATCAGATGTGTCGTTTCTGCCACTATCGGGGCATTAAGATTTACCAGAATTCAAGTACATTTGGAGCCAGTCAGTCCTTTGTGCGGGAGAATGCTACAGCTAAAGGGCAGTATTCTTTTAACCTGTATTTTTTACAGGAATATGATGAAACCATGCAACACTTCGATGTGTTTAATAAGGGTTTGGTCTGCCGGCTATGTACCCAGGGCTCCTTTCAGCTAACATGGCAGATTTCAGGCATTTAACTTCAAATTGCATAGCCCTTTATCACACAGCCAGGTCTCATATTTTCGGAGCAATGTTTGGTTATTATGACAAAAGAATAGAATGTTATTGATTATTGGCATCTTAAAGTACAGAGTCCTGTTCTGTGGATGGACAGTGAAACAGACCTGACTCTCACACAAGCAGCTGGAAAATACATGTATTAGCATAATGGAAGATCTGTGATTAGTATAATGAATGACTGGAATGCGCTGCACCATGTGTCTGTCTCTTCATGGGCCAATCAGGACCATTGCCACAGAACCCCGACCTGAGATCTGGAGGACAACTGTGCTTTCAAAGTAACTCCTAAAAGGAACTAAAAGAATCATATGTATTATAAACACAAAACTTTTCTTCCAGGGCTATGAAACAAAATGTATGCAATAAAATAGGCAAGTTCCACTGAAACCTATGTATTTTATTATGTATACAGGCGTCTCCTGCGTAATGCGGTAGGGAAATGCTAACAGAATTTATGACACACCTCAACCAAAGTCCCCTAACCTATTTCCTAAAACTATAACTGAAACAGTAAAAACACCCATGTTGGAATGTAAGATGCTTAAAACATCTCTTCTTGATTGTCAGTGATGTTTACAAAGTTGCTTTGTGTGCAGAAATAGCCTCTCTTCCTTTGTAATTACTCTTCTCACTCACGTGGCTCCCTTTTCACAATTTTCCACACTTGCTCTATTCTGAGGAGACTCACACAACACTAGGTAAAAATAAGGGCTAGACAGACGTGGAAAACCCCGTGGAAATGCGTTCAGGATGAGCATGTGAGCTGGAGGCTGGCCACACTGACTATATTGAGGTGGGCCTCTCGGTTCCAGCGACATCCTAGGGCATGTCCACTTTATTGCTAGTCTTTGTGTCTTCAAATACCCATGGTGATTCCAACTGTTATTATATTCAGAGTATAACTCAAGACTGTGCCAATACAGTATTTTGAAGATATAAATTTCTCCTATACATAAACATTAATTGAAAAATGTGAAAGAGAGAGGTACATTATATGATACTTGGGTGTTATTTTAGCTTCTATTGCTGCTGCAATGAATTACCACAAATTTAGTGGCTAGTTCACAGGCTCCAGGGATTAGGGCATGGACATCTCTCATGGGCCATTATCCTGTCTACTACAGGTATTAAAAACCAAAAGCTGGTCTTTCAGGAAAATGTTAAATTGGGAGATTTTCTGCTGAGTATGTTCATACATATGCACTTTAAAAAAAAAAAAACTCAGATGCTTTTATTAAGTAAAAAAAAGGACTCTAAACTTCAGTTTAAGTTCTAAAACAATTGCATGACTGTGGATCTGTATTAACCAGGGAGTGGAACTTTGAAAGTTACTACTCCTTCTTCCCGAGATATGCCTCTTTGTTAACGTTTCGGGGCTGCCATAACAGTGTCCCACAGATTGGGTGGCTTAAACACATTTATTTTCTTACAGTTCTGGAAGCTTCTCTTTTTGGCTTGTAGATGGCGATCTTCTCCCTGTGTCTTCATATGATCTTTCCTCTCTGTGTGTCCTACTCTGTTCTTATAAGGACACCGGTCACTGTGNAAACACATTTATTTTCTTACAGTTCTGGAAGCTTCTCTTTTTGGCTTGTAAATGGCGATCTTCTCCCTATGTCTTCATATGATCTTTCTGTGTGTCCTACTCTGTTCTTATAAGGACACCGGTCACTGTGTTAGGGCTCCACCCCAACGACCATATTTAACTTGACTCACCTCTTTAAAGACCCTCTCTCCAAAGACCTTCTCTCCAAATAAGTCATATTTTGAGGCACTGCACAGTTAGGACATCAATATATGAATTTTGAGGGGACACAATCCAGTCCTTGACAGCATCTAGCAAATTTAATAATTAAGCCTGCAAACAACTCTACAATAATAGGGAACCATTGCTAAAAATAAAGGTGGGGAGAGATACAACTTAAACACATGCACTCATTGACAATTACTCTCCGGTAGAATTTTTTTTTCTAAAAAAACGGTGATTTATTTTGTTTTAACATACAATGGTAAATATGCTGAGATCATCAAGTTTTCCAAAAATTTCGCTGGGCATACTTCACACATTACAATACTCATGTGAGCTCATTGTTTCTTCTATTTCAATGCAGGAAAGGGATCCAACTGACACCTACTAGCAGCTTGGCTAAGAATGGACATTAAAATCAGACAATACACCGTAAATAGAAAGTACTTTTCTCCAAATGTGTATAAAAGTTTTGAAACAACACCACTGCCTGCTCCACAGGACAGACACGCTGAATTAGGCATAGCATAACCCTGTGTCACAATACTTACAATACAGTCTCACAATCATTTCATCAACGACGTGTGCACTTGAGATTTAGGAGGAAAAAAAAATCTGAATGAAAAGAGAAACAGTAGCCAAGGAACTGCACAACCGAAAAAATGAAAATTATATAAAATATTTCCACCACTATTTAAATGCCAAATTTAATCGAGCAAGAGTAAAAAATAAACAAACAATATAATAATACAACCTTCTGTTTAAAATAACAGCACTGCTCCTCCCCTTTTCCACTGAATTTTACATATGAACAGACTATATATACTGGTTTTCCCGAGAAATGTCCATTTGGTCTGCCGCACCCGTCAGGCCCACGCCGAGTCCTCACTGCCGTCCGAGGACGTGCGGGACCAGGACGTGCCCGTGCCTCCCACAGGCCGGGTCAGGTGCAATGTCTCAAGTATAATACATTTCTCTTTTCCTTTACACAGTGCAGAGTATATGGGCTTAGGCTGGGGCGATGTCCTCCTACTCCAGGTCGCTGTCCTTGTCTAAATTCAAGGCGCTGTTCAAGGGGGTGCAGTAGTTTGGCTTGTCGGAGGGAACGTAGCCGGGCAGACACAGGCACTTGTAGGAGCCCTCGGTGTTGATGCACTTGGCGTTCTTGCAGAGGGACATCCGGTTGTTCAGCTCGTCGCATTCGTTCACATCTGCAAGGGGCCAGACCACGCAGGTGAACGGGCGGTGACGAGCTCGGCGGGGAGGGCAACGGGACCCACGGCCTGGCCTCTCGCCCACCCCGCGAACTCTCCCACGCGCGTCTGTTTCAGTCACGTGAGAGGGGAGCCGGACTATCTAGATCCTGCGAAGGTAGATTATCAGGACAGTTCTAGAGTTTCCTTCCCTGCTATTTAACACCACATGAACAATTTGGTAGCCTGACCCTTCACAGGCGAACCTCAAGAAAGCTGGAAGAAGCACCCTGCTGGGAGATGCCTTCCTGCGGGTGTAGACGGGGGAGATCCGTCAAGAGGAGGAGAGTTGCGAAGGAACCAGCGGGCCGAGAGCCTCTGAGCAGCCCCTTCGGAGGCTGAAGTTACCTTCTCGGGTGTCTTTCCACAGGAAAGAAAGGTTCTTATGCACCTGAAACACCTGCAATAACCCAGGTTCCTATTTTCCAGACCCACCGCCGATGGGGACTAACCAAACTCAGACAAGGAGAGGGGCACTACGGGAGGGAGAAAAGCCTCAAAAAATGGAGAAAGAAAACTTTTGAGTCCAGGGCCTTTTAGTGTAGAGGCCAAAGGGCCCTAGAACACTGTCTGGAAGATCATTCGGTCACACGGAGCAGGATGAGTGTGTGTTTACTGCTCTTTTAAAAATACGAGGGCCTGGCCGGGCGTGGCTCAGGGGTTGAGCATCGACCTAGGATCCAGGCGATTGGGCTTCGATTCCCAGTCAGGGCACATGCCCGGGTTGCGGGCTCGATCAATGACTCTCTCATCATTGATGTTTCTATCTCTCTCTCTCCCTCTCCTGTTCTCTCCCTGAAATCAAGAAAGATATATTAGAAAAACAAAACACACAAAACGAGGGAAGGCAATGAGTTTTAGGAGGAATTTTTTCCCAAATGATGGCCGTGGGAGTTGTATTTTTTCAGACATCTACATTCCCTTCTGCTTGGGTCAGGTATTCAGGGAAAACATTGCTGGCTACACAGTCAAAAGCTAAACTTAAAAGAGTCAAAGTCACTCCCTGGAACATTCGGGCCCTTCCTCCATATGTGAAGAATTCTATAGAAGCTCTTAAATGAGAGAGCAACTCTATTTTTTAAAAATAACTCAGGAAAAGAGTTATTTCCCATGAGACACCATTCTTACCGACACAGGTCATCTTGGCCATGTCCAAGTGATACCCATCAAAGCAGTCGCAGGTATAACCCTCCTGCACCCTCACACAGCGGCCGTTTTCACACCCGTTGAGGATGCCACACTCCTCAGCCTGGAGCTCCTCAAAGCTATTCAAAAAACCTGGCAAAGACAGGGCAGAAGCTGAGTTAGACACATTCACCCTCTTAAACCGTTTCTAAAAACCATATGATTATTAGGCCTACGGTTCCTCAGATAGCCATGTTTCAGACCCCTTAAAGTTGGCATTAAAATCCAATACTGAATATAACTGCAACACAGTATGAAATGTAAAATATTAAAAGCTTTATGTATGTTGTACGGATCAGCCCCACATCTTGAATTCTGATGTTCTGTATCAAAGTCTTAAAACGAGAAATCAAGTATGGCTTTTGGTTTTGCCCTTAATTATTTAAAGTTTTGATCAAAAATTCCAAATTTCCTGAGTTCTCACTAGCAAACATCAGGACATCTTTCAGCATGGAACCAATAGTGAATTTATCAGTTCAGGAGACATTTGCTCAGAAGACCCAGGATAGTTCATTGGAGGGGGTGCTTTTTCTGCTTGGAGTTCCCAGGAGAGCAAAGGCCAGGCAGGCCTAGCCCTGTGGAGTCTGTTTGTTTGCTCTGGCTTTGGAAGGAGCCCGACAAAAGGACTCTTGGGGATCAAAGGACAAAGGCAGTAAAAGGGACTCAAAACATCCTGATAAATGAGAAGAGTACATCATGCCTGTGTTTAGTAAACCAAAAGTCTTTTTGTACAGAAACAAAGAAGCTCTTGTTTGGCTCCCTGTATAGTTTAGATAGCTTTAAACTGATTCAGGGCTGGGATTTAATAATATAAAAACAATTTAACTAGGCATCAAAACTGTTTAGCTTTCTTTCGAGAGAAAAAAGTTGTAAATATGAAACCGGTGACTCAAACACGCAGTTTAGGCGGCCCCTCCTCCCCCCTCCCCCTCCCCACCTTCCAAACCTCACCCAAGATTAGCTTTTAAAAAAAATCAAAATGAGGAGAGGGGGAGGAGGGACTGGGTGACAAAGGTGAAAGGATTAAGCAGCACAAATTGGTAGTTACAGAGATAGATTACAGCATAGGGAATATAGGCAATAATACTGTGATCATTAAGTATGGGGCCGAGAGGGGTATTCGAAGCGGCAGGGGGGACCACTCTGTAAAGTACATGATTTCCAAACCACTTTGCTGTACATCTGAAACTAATACAGAATAATACTGAATGTAAACTGTAGCTGAAAAAAAATTTTAAGGAAAAAAAAATCAAAATGTGGTGAGAAGTTAGGCCTTTGACATAATTCTCCAGTGGAACTGCAGGGGGCAGCAAAATATCACTGCTTATGCGGGGCTCTGAGGTCCAGAACTTGGGGACTTAAAACATTTAGCAGCCACAACAGTCCCTTTTTAAAATTTTTAAAGGAAAAAATATATTACAGGTCATAAAGAATATGTCAGCAGATTCCCCAAAGCCAGTCTGAGAAATACTAAGAAAATAAAGTCAAATTCCAGGCATCACGGCAAAATCATTTTGACTTTAAAACTAGTAAAATCATTTTTTATCCTAGAAATTAAAACATGAAGCTAAATTTGAAGCTCCTATACGGACATCAAGTATGCTCCCCAAATACTTCTATAGGGCTCTAAAATGGGCGTCAGAAAGTGCAGCAGCCCCCGCTCCAAGTCTGGCCAGCTGCCTATTTTGTAAATAAAGTTTTATTGGAACACAGCCACACCCACTCCCTGATGTTCCTCTAGTTGCTTCCGTGAGACCACAGCAGAGTTGAGTCTCTGCAAAGGAGACGATATGGCTGCAAAGCCTAAACATTTCACTGTCTGGTCCTTTATAAGAAAAAGTTCTCTCTGCTCCTGGCGATTCCGGTTTTATAGTTATTGCTCTAACTACAGGCACCACCGGCCATCAGCTAACATTTTTAAATAACCAGGAGGCAGGAGTTGGTGAAGCAGAAAAGTGATAAGAATCCTATGTGACCATCTACCCAATATTATCATTTCTTCAGCAGGGACGAATGCCCTTGCTCCTGGCCTGAGAAGGAGGAGCTATTTCTTGTAACTCGTTCGAAATTTTACTGGTCAAAGCTGGAGGCCTTGGAACTGCAGCTCACCTTCCTATGTTGCTAAATAGGAAACTGAAGTGATACCAACTTGTTTCTTTCTTGCCACTTGCAGTGAATGAAAAAAGAGTTTTAAGGCAATGTCAGCATTAAAAAAGAGGGACATAAGCCAGAACATTTCAATGCTGAGATTCCTGAAATCTGAACTGTGCTGTGACAGGGGCTACACACAGGCGCTGTGGGCTGTGTCAGGGCTGCACAGAAACTTGACCTGGGGTTCCGGATTTATGGGGCAGGTAAGCTGGCTTCCTTTCAACCTTAATATTCCTTCTTCCTTTCTTTTCCTCTCTCTTTTTAAGATAAATGTTTATGGATCTATAGCATAAACACAGAGAAGTGTAGAAATCATAAGTGCACACAGTCTCCTAGCGGTCAGTGCATTCAGGCATATTTCATGAGGTCCTGTATGGTTACATGTTGTTGATGAAAAGAAATCCAAGTGTTAGAAGTCAGGAGAGCGGTTGCCCTTGCAGGGAGTGGGCTGGGAAAAATGCTGGCCCGTTCTAGACCTGGGGGGGTTACACAGGTGTGTCCATGCTCTGTTCATGTAAATTTTTATTTATTGAGTGGTTTCAGAGAGAGAGAGGAGGGGAGGGAGAAAGAGAGAAACATCAATTTGTCATTCCACTCATTTACGCATTCACTGGTTGATTCTTGTATGTGTCCTGATGGGGGACTGAGCCCACAACCGAGGTACATGCCCTTGACCTGATCAAACCCGGGACCCTTCAGGCCGTGGGCCAGCGCTCTAACCACTGAGCCAAACCAGCCAGGGCTGTTCGTGTAGATTTTAAGCACTTACTTCCACTGGATGAGCAATACACCACAATCCTCAAAAAACAAAAGGAAGGAAGGAACGAGAAAGGGCGGGACAGAGGGGAAAGGGGAAGGAGAGAGGAAAACACTCTGGACTCAGGGTTGAAGTAGATCCAAGTGCAGCCACAAAGCTCGCTCGCCCCTGGGGGACGAGGCCATGCCTGGTTTGTGCAGGTGTCAGGGCCGGAAGGAAGAAAGGCTTCATTGTATTTCGTGACTCAGCAGCCTCTCCAGTCCTAACCCCGGAGCCCCGTCCCGAAAACCTGGTGCGGAGGACGCCCCCTGCCAGGAGGGCCCCTGGGTGAGACACGGACTCGGAGCTGGGGCCGGTGTCCCTGGTCCTGTTCTTAAAGGGACACAACCTAGTATCTGGGAATATTTCATTTCTGTGTCGCCCCGTTTCTCAGACTTCAAATAATTAGTGTCTCTACGTGAAAGCCCTGGTTTCCCCCACTGAAACCAGACAGTTACTCTCTAAATAGGAGCAGGGTTCTCGCACCCCACCTCCCACAGGAGAACCCCGCTCCCAGACCCGGGAGAAGCCAGAGCACGCCGTAGTCCTGAACCCCCCCCACGAGAGGATTCTGAAAGTTCATTTCTGACCAGGCAACTGTTTGACTTCCCACTCTGAGGTACTTGTGAGAGCAACTCAGTACAGTCAACCACCGCCAGTTCCTTCTGTGAAAAAGGCCACGATTCTAACCGGCTGTTCGAGAAAGCCCTCAAGCTGGGCCACCACCCAATGGGTACAAAATGACTGTTATGAAAACTGTAACAACAAGGTAATCTACTTTACAGATGGTGAACCTAACAGCATCCCCGCCAGCAAGACTGATCATCTGACCCAATGGTTCTCACACTTGGATGCAGAAGGTTACCCCAGGGCCCGCGAAACCCCAGAATTTCCGATTTGGCAGGTCTGAGAATCCGCATTTCTAACAAGTTCCCAGGGCTACATTTTGAGAACCATTGGCTAATCTGGAGCCACAGTTTAGTGTCAAAGTCACAGAAGACGTCTGCTTACGGTCCTGAATGAAGTAGGGGTTGGCTTCCGGAGCATACTGTTCGCTGAAGTCGACCAAGGCATCCCGTCCATACGGCCGCCGGCGTCCTGTGACAGGGATGTTGCACAGCTGGGCATAGTCATCTACAAAAGAAGCAAGGGAAATGACACCCCTTCCATGTCTGCTCGCACCCGAACGTGCCCGCTTCCAGCTCAGAGCACGGGGAAGCTGCCAGGGCTCTGTCCCCCACAGGCCGGGGCCCCCACACAGCGCTGGGCCCGGACGCATCTCAATATTCTTCCTGGGGGCCCAGGCCATCCACACACAGTGAGGGCTGCAAAACATGGTTAAGGTTCTAACTTGAATTCTAAATCAAAAACAGTAGCTGAACAGCTGGCAGAATGTATTCCAGGAGAGCAACGAACTGAAAAACTGGGCCACCCGAGAGTGACGCAGGCCTGTGGGAAGAGCGGCTTTATCTGAACCCATCAGGTGTTATCATCAAAGCATCTGAAAGGTATAAAGTAGTCGTTCTTACACACAGGCACTTTTCCACTCACGAGAGAGAGAAAACACGTGTCTCTGGTGATCCAGAAATCAGATGACTAGCAGGCGAGGATGCTATGTGGTACCATTTAATTTAGTAGCTATTTTAACTCTATACTCAAGACCTGGTCCTTACGAACAGTATTACAGTAACGATGACGTCATGGTCATCATCATCATCGTCATCATCATCATCATTGTGAAGTAAAGGGAGCAGAAGTAATAGTAGTTAACAGACGTACAATGCTTGCTCTGTGCCAGGTACTGTTCTGATACATATTCATTCACTAAAACACTACTCACACCACCCTACGGAAGGCACGACGATCACACCCATTGTGCAGATGAAGCAGCAGCCACAGGGCGTGGCTGACCGACGGCTGACACGTGGCAGTGCCAGGCTGGGACTCGGCAGTGAAGCTCCAGCTGCACGTTTAGCGTCCGGCTCCCACAACAATCTCAGCTCCCGTGTAACCCCCGTCCTGACGTCTTCTGCACCCCAGACAGACTCATCTGTGGTTACCGCTCCCCGAGCCCATGTTCCCATTCCGAGCTGGGTCAGCCCCATGGCCACCTCACCCCCAAACTCCCCTGCAGTCCTCACAGGACCCACCCGGCACATGGGACCTGGGATCCCCATTTGTGCGGGGCGACCGAGCTCTCAGTGCATTTCATGGTCCCAGGCTCCTGCCTGCACGTAGGAGCAGAGTTATGCAGAAGGTCCAGCGATGACAGCTTCAGAAGGGATGGCTTCATGTTCTGAACACATGTTCCACAGAAATATGCTGCCTGAGGATTCATCCAGCAGATGGTGAAAATCTTGGGGCTCCCCAGGTCCCTACAGCGCTGGCCGAGCTGTGAGATACAGGTCAGCAGGCCCCAGGACTCTCAGGAATGGCGCTCTCAGGGCAATCACACAGGGCAACAACCACTTGCCTGGACCACAGACAGGGAGAGCTGTCCTCTATTTTCTCTCCTCTGTGACAGAACTAAACAAATGCACTACGGCAATACCGTGAACCCTCAAGGCTTTCTTTCATCTCTAAACTTAAAGGAGTCAAAGGTGTGTGTGCGCTTGCACAAGGATACGTCGGCTCCCAGAATTGTCAAGGAAGTGAAAGGCCAGAGAAGACCCTGCACCACGGGGTAGGGGAGCATTCTGGTCGCCCCTTCTTCAAATTCTCCTCGCGCAGAGGCATTCCAGGAACAACATGCAGACCCCACACAGCCCAATATTCTTGCACAAAAAAGCATTTTGTGAGAAATATTAATTTCATTGAGGAAATAGCTGAACCTGGAAAAAGACCCTTGACTCAAAAAACCCAACTTCGAACAAAGAGAAGACACACGGCCATCAAGCTCTGCTTCACGTCTGAGAGAGAATGAAGGGTCTCCCGGCCAGAGCCAGATCGCCGAGATGCTTCCAAGTTCAAGAGCTGAGGTCATTCTCTCTCAGGGATCTTTATATACATTTGTTGTACATCTGAAAGGGAGAGCCTGTTCCATATTTCATATCCAAGCAACAGTTGTGATCAAGAATAGATATTAAAAATAAATTAATCCATGTTCTTATTTTGTAAAACTAAATCCAGGCACAGCTGAACAAGCTCCTCTCTGACATGTGGCTCTCGGGGAAGCCCGGCTGAGACTCGAGGTGCTGGGGCTGTGGACCGACGGAGCCAGGGCAGCCCCAGGGCTGTCCGACCTTCCTGCCCATGGCCTTGGCCTAGACCATGCCTCCTCCACTGCGCGCTGGTGGCCACCCCCAAGCTCTCGCCGTCTAGCACAGCAAAAGGAAGGGACCAAGGGTGAGAGGAGTGAGGAGGGACAGACAGACTTCTGTTCTGTGAAATGCTGACGAGCAGCTTCCTGGAAACAGTGGTACTTGATCGGAAACTAAATAGAGGAGTAGAACTTACTTTGCAAGAGAAGATATTTGGGTTGACTTGAAAAAGAGCTTACCCCAAGGCGTCAAGAAAGGGAACTGTAAGCTGGGTTTGGGGAATGCCAGGTGCTCCTAGGAAGGCTTCTAACTCGCCTCGGCTGGTGAAGGGGGGCAGAGGAGAGAAATGAGGGTGGGACCTGGGGGACTTGGGGCACCTTCTTCACACACCCCTCCCCGCGGCCATGCGTTTATCTGTTAAGATTCTAGAACTTACTGTCCTTTGCTGCTTTACTTTCTCTACCATATCAACATTCCAAACTTCAAGACAGTTTTGGTCAGTTATCAAAACATCATTTCTGCATGAAATCTAGTCTCTGCTGTCTTTGAAGATGGGCTACAGTCCCATCATCACCAGGATATGCATTTGGAGTGATTTTTTTTCTGGGGGCACGGATGGGGCTATCCTACTCCGCCCCGGCCGCCTCTCTAGCCCCGCACATCTGCTCTCATTCTTGGCCAGGGTCAGGGGTGAGGTGGGGATGAGGTAATGGAAAGAATGTGGGCTTTGGAGGCAGAAACTAGGCCTCGAGGCCTGATTATGCCACTTAACTTTCAGCTCAGCAATTTTGGGCAAGCCTCAGTTTCCACATCTGTCACATGTGGACAGCAATTCCTGTTTGCCTACCTCTGTGTTACTGACATATAAAAATGAGGGGACATTATAAATTTTGGAGCACCTAGACAATGGAGGGTGCAACTTTTTCCCTCATAGGTAAAATCACTAAGTCCCCACTGAACGACTGGAAATAAGTGAGGGCTTCCAAGGACAGTATCAGAATGATTGACACAAGTTGTAATGTTAGTAAAACTTCAAGGTTGTTGTCAATGGGCAAAGGATTGTGCAGTGAATTGAGAGCACTGAAAGCACAGGCTCTAGATGTCTTTAGAGATTGTTGCAAGATTGTGTGGAATTTTCTCATAGATGGAGGAAAACTTTAATTCAGTAAATAGAGAACGAAGCCTTCATCTCAGACCTAAGGCTTCCTTACTGACAGCCTTAGCAAACATAATCGCTTGGTCCAACACTGATAAGGTATGAACAACAGCACCCTTTAGCCCTAGATACACAGAACTCAGACTATAAGGGAAAAACCGACATTCAACAATTCTTACTATAGGTCCGAACTGGTCAGAAACGTGTGGAGCCGAGAACGGGTTTCTCACCGTCTTCCAGGGGAGCAACTGGAATATCACAGTATTTTCTAACGAGTCTTGGGCAAGGCGCCCTCCTCAGGATCTGGGCACGTGTACCTTTCTAGCATGTCTGGGCCTCTGAGCAAACCCCAAGCCACAACCAGAGCCCATTCTAGCTTCGAGGTGCCTGGTCTGGTTGTCTCTAGGGCTGGGTCACAGCTGCATCCAGCTTGGGGACACAGTGAACTTCGGCTGGCTGAGGGTACAGAGCCCAGGGTAGCAGGTACCTGAACTACTGGCACAACTTCCCGTGACAGCCCATGAGAACCTCTTGGCTGTCACTTCATTCAGCTCAACGTGTGCAGACGGACACATATATTCTGCCCCTGGGGTATTTTTCCTACTCCAAAACACCCTTTAATTATGTCACCAACAACAACGGGGCACCTAGTCGCCAGGGGCATGGTGCAAATGACTAGCTTTGCTTACTGGGCAGGGCTTGTACTTTGGGAGACAAACACTATTTAAGAGACACCATAGAATGTGTCTGTCCGGGATCTAGCCAAATGCGAATGTAAAACAAAACAGGAAATGGAAATATTCACACCTCAGAGCCCCCGCCCCACTGCAGTCCCCCCTGCCCCCGGCACAGATGCTAAGCTCCTGATCAAAGCCATGAAAGACACACATGGGATGGCTCGGGACACCATCGCTAAGTGGTCCAAACAAGATCCAGGCCACTGATCAAACTCATTTCCCTGGCATGGCAGATTCACAGAACAGATGGTGCTTTGATTTTAATTTTAAATTGGGAAAAAAAACAGTTTAAAAATTACCCCCTGGAGCCAGCGGGTCTGGGGCCCCTGCTGTCGGAGACAATGGGAAGCACATTACTAGGTCCTGGCAGGAAACCTCCGTTCCTGATGACAGACACATCTGCAGGGCTGGTCTGGACAGTCACATGTCACCATGCCACTCTGGCATGTGGGGAAACTGGGAGGTGACGTTTTCGCTCGGCCTGAGGCCGATTAAATTCAGCTGCTTTTAGGAGTAATGAAGAGGCCGCATTTCGTCCCCTGCACAGCACGGCGAAGACTCTCAAGTTGGACTTGCAACGTTCCCAACACAGGAGGAACAAGGACCGATCCCCATGCATTAGAAAAATGGCTCTTATTTGGCTTAAATTTCCAGGCCAGGTGTTTCTCTTACCAGGTCCCCAAATGTGTTATAAATCGATGGTAGTGTTTGGAAAACATACACAAATAACCAGGAAAGGCAGAAAGGAGACGGGGAACACAAAATGAGCGGTTAGCCCAATGCATGCTGAGCCGGCAGGGGAGCAGGCGTGTTGTTTTCAGACTGAAATGAGCAAAAGCTATGCCATTAGAAAATCGTTGGCCATTTGCAGGACATTCCACCCAGGACCGAGGATACACTGGCAGTGCTGCACCCTGTGTCGCTGGACATCTGTCTGGGTGTCTGTCTACTTAGCCTCGTTCTCAGAGGACCTACTATTTC